GATTTACAGAGTAAATTCACTTTTCATACGGCAGTTCACATATACTTTGTCTCATGTCATTGACCAAAATTTACAATGCAGCAGCTCCCCTCCCCTTCCTCCCCATAGTTACCTCCTCCCAGTGTCCATCCCTTCATACTCTTCTGCACCCTGTGCATAAGCAGCCCTTGAGTTTGGTTTTTTTGGTATATTTTATGTGGCAGGGGCTCTGGTGGCACAGTAGGTAAGGCATTCGGCTACTAACCAGAGGGCTGGCAATTTAAACTCACCAGCCACTCCATGGGAGACAGAGGAAGCAGTCTCCTTCCATTAGGATTTACAGACTTGGAAACACTCTGTGGCAGTTGTACTCTGTCCTATAGTTTCTGTACAATCAGAATCAATTCAATCGTAGTGGGTTTGATTATTTGGTTATATTTTATGTATTCCTACAAATATTTTTCCTTCATTTTTCAAATTATTTTGGGAGTGTTCATAAACAAATAAGTATTAAGAGAGCTATTTCAAAAATTCTAATTTACTACATAAGTAGACTTCCTAGCATTTTCATATATTTTAATGAGTGTATAATGGTCTATTAGCTGGAAAACTATTATTCAATTTTAGTTTTTTGTGGATTCTTTTTGACTACAGGATATTTCATACACTTGAAAAAGCACAGTTGTCTCTGGAACAAACAGACTACTGGAAAGTCATCTTAGAATTTATCTGGAAGACTTGTGAAGTGGTTCGAAATATGAACATGCAAGAAAGTTTCCATAGTAGCCAGTTCAGTAAGTCTTAACTATAAGAATGTGGGTATTTCTCTCCTTTCATAAGAGATCATGCTATTTAATAGAAAGGAGTTTAAAATTAGTACTCTCCAAGTACAATTGCCATTGTGATGACTTTATTCAATTTACTCATGGCAATTATGACAAGATTTACCAGAAGTCCTGCTTTGACCAGGCCAGGTTATCCCAGCACAGTTTCTAAAAATAGCCTTTTTCACATTCAGAGTCATCCTGGTTTGGATGATAAATAATTATATGTACAGTCTAACTATCACTCTAGCCACAAGAGTCCACATTTACTGCATATGGGGCCTTCTCACTTCCCATAGGTCTACCCTGAAGTCTAGGGAAAATGTCCCATGTAGTGTATGCACCCTTCTTTCTTTCCAGCCTCCAAAAACGAAAGCTTTCACAAAAGGTGAATTTTATAAATCTGTAACTGCATGATATACAGGTATCTCCTAAAGACTCTTTGTTGAGAAGATGATGGCAGACTGATACTTGCATTTCTGACTCTCTGTCTTCTTCCGGGTCCAGAGCTGGTTCTGTCTTTCCATCTCTCCTAGGGGATCAGGCTTAGCTTATCCTCTGATATGTACTAACATTGTTCAATTGTGGTGGAGTTATCAACTTCTCCTTAGAACACCTGTGTCTTGAGGTTGAGAAAGGGAGCTCTTCACTCCTTTTTTTGTGGCAATGTCAACCTGGCCTTATTTCCTTCCTTCTTTCTCACAGAGATAACAATAACAAACAAGATGTCAAATTGCTGCTTTTAGAGACTTCCAGAGAATTCCCCTCTTTGTGGCTGTCATTATAAAAACTGCCTCTCACAAGGCAGGCCCTGTAAGTTTGCTGCAAGTTACCGTTTGAAGCTTGACCCTTATGTGTAAAGCAGTACTGGGGGTCTCTGTATCTTTTCCAGAGAGCCTTGGGATGCTCAGCCATACATTTTATTCTTCCCTGCCTTTTTCTTCTTCTTCTTTTTTTTTTTTTTAATCATGTATCCATGCCCACTCTGATTGTCTCCAGAAACAGCCTGTGAAAAGTGACACTGAGTATCAGTAAGAGGCTCAGAGTTCAGTCTCAATAATATTGATAATAACAACATTGATTGTATTTTAAATAAAGCATGCAATAAAATCTTCATACCAATCAATGAGTTAAATACCATTACTACCTAATTTTCTGAGATTGAACCTGATGTGTGAAAACTGTGGTTTAAAGAGCTTGTATTCCTGGCCTAGGTCACAAAACTACTGAGTGCCAAAGTCAAGAATAGAAATCCAGAAAATATCACTGATGGCTATATGCTTAACTGCTGTACTTCCCTTGGGGCTGATCCTTGCTGGGGGCTTAAATCAACTACTCACACATTCTCTTGGTATTTGTTTGAAAACTTTCTCTATTTTTTCAGTTTTTCAGTTGTCACAAGTTACCATTATCTTTTAAAAGTTTTAATTAGCTATAATTCACATGTCTTACAATTCATGCATTTTAAGTTCAATTTCCCTTGGGGCTGATCCTTGCTAGAGACAAAGACTTGTTCCATTTTATTACAGTCATTTGGTCAAATGACTAAGTTTTATTGATTCTATTTTACATGTGCTTTCTATTTCATTAATTTTCCCTTTAATTTTTTGTGATTTTCTTTTTCTACTAACTTGCGCTTGATTGCTGTTTGTTCTGGTTACCTAGTGCTGCTCTGAAAGGAATATACCACAAATGGGATGGCTTGAACAAATAGAAGTTTATTCTCTTACAATTATGGAAGCTAGAAGCCCGAGTTCAAAGTGCTGGGTTCTAGGGCCCTGGGTGAAAGCCTCTCAATGTTGGCTTCAGCTCTGCCTTTGGCTCCTGGCCCACTGAAGCCAGAGGCTTTCTTTACTCAGGCAGCTGCTGGCTCCTGAGGCTGACAAACCCAAGGTCAACAAGTAAAAGGCACAGTTCCAATATTACCAAACCACACAGCCGGCCATTAATTCAAGTCCACTGAAAGTCCTGAGGTCAGCAGAGCATGGCAGACTGCTGAAAAAAGACTAGGTTACATGCAGGGTTCAAGTGTGCTATAAGCTACAGACCATTCCCAAAGCTGTTTCTTATATACAGGAAGCAGACTACATAACCAAAGAAGCTACTCAACTGTTTCAATAGATTCCACCATGGAGATAATTACAAATCTCCTATGGGGAATAATTACATTCAGCTGCCCAACCACTCAACCAGGCACAGCCAAGTTGACACACAAACTTAACAACTACAGTATTATTTCTCCAGCTGCTTGATTTTCAGATATTTTTCTTTATAATATGTTTTTTTTTTTTTTAATTTATTGTGATTTGGCTGAAGATTTATAGAGCAAATTCACTTTCCATACAGCAGTTAACATATACTTTGTCTCATGTCATTGACCACAGTTTACCACAATGCAACAGCTCCCCTCCCACTTCCTCCCCCATACTTACCACTTCTCAGT